ATGGGCCGCCGCTGACCTGAGTTCTAGATGGGAGATGTTCTCGCATCATTTCTTCAAGCTTAAGAAAGCTGAGCCAGACGCCAGGTGCCCGAGCCTGGCATACGCTGAAAGCGCGTTGTGAAAGAGCGTTGTGAAGCCACGCGCTCTTATCGCAAGAGGTAGCCCTGGACTGGCCCCAAAGCAGGTCCGAAGCAGTTTCCCTCTCCCAAGCGCTGCAGGCCCCCTGTCGGACTTTCGACCACACTCGGGCCAGGAGCGGGAGCAATCCGATCGGTCTTACGCCTCCCGTTGGCTTGTCGACGAACACGATCAACATCGTCCAGAGCGCCGAGGCTCTGGGATCGCCCTCCCACGCATTGAGGACATCTGCAAGTCTCTGCTCTACCTCGGGGGACACCTGGAGCAGCAACCGCGGGTGGAAACCATCCCAACCCAAGGCCGTGCCCTCGGCAAAGCACTTGCACGCCGATCGGATGGCATCTGCTGAAATCAGCTCCCGAAGCGCGAAACCTGGCAAAAGCGTGGGTGCTCTTCATGGGCCCTCGACTCCCGGCTCCAAATCGGGGCCCACTCCTCGAGGAGCTTCTCGAGAGCCACGTGGCCCGCCAAAGGGACACCCCCCTCCTCGACAGGCCACAGGATGGGCTCTCGAGGAGGAGCAGGAGGAGGAGCAGGAGGAGAAGTTTCCTCCCGCGCTTCCTCCGCCCCTCCCTTCTCAGGTCGTGCCCGCTCCGTGTCGATCTCCCTCGCCTCCCCCCTCGCCCTGGGGACCTGTGCTCGGGCCTGTTCCCTGGGGGCCCAGTATCGTGAGTGCACGGGGGGACGCCTCGGCGTCAGCTCGGCGCCCTGCGCTCGATTGTTCCCCGTCCGATGTGGAGAGCGCCGTCTAGCTGACATCTCCAGCCCTCTTCACCAGGGGTGTGTGGTGATCCAGAATGTGCGAGGGTACCTTCCCAAAGTGCAGGTCGCCTAGCTCAACCTGAGCCATGGCTCGGGTGGTGGTCGGGTCATGTCGCCGCGCTTCGCGATCGATCCTACCCTATGTTATCCTGTGTCCGTCCTTGAGACCACACGCGACGACCTATCCGATCCTGTCCTCTTCACCAGAGGTCCGGAGGTCTCACAAGGGTCCCCAGAGGTCACGAGAGGGCTCCGTGGAGGCTCTCGGAGGCGTGGCGCGGGTCGGGCACGTCAGGGGACCTCGATCCCTCACCCTCCAGCCTCTGGGATCCTGCCGGTCCTCTCTCGCGCTTTCCGCTTCCTCCGTCGCCCTCGCCCTGGCCCTGGTGTTCTGCCCGCCCGCGCGAGCGAGGCTCGATCCTCTTCCTCCTCCTCGTCCTCCTCCTCCCTGTCCTCCTCCTCCTCCTCTTCTCTTCCTCCCCCCACCTACTCTGATCCTTTTCTTCTTTCTCCTCCTCCTCCTCCTCCCTGTCCTCCTCCTCCTCCTTCTCCTTTTTCTCCTCCTCCTCCTCCTCCTCGCTGTCCTCCTCTTTGAGGCCCTTTCTAGATGGTATCGGATGTGAATTTCGGCGCACCTTACGCATGCCGGCCGCGTGGCAAATAGTTCTCATTGTCCTCCACCCTTTCTTTTCTTTCACGAGATTGCCGCCTCAACCATGGGCCAGGGGAGGAAAGGGTAAGGAGAAAAACGCAGACAAAAACAGTAAGACGGAGAGAACAACACACACACACACACACACACACGCACACACACACGCACACACGCACACACACACACACGCGCACACACTCACACTCACACAAACCACACACACACACACACGCTCGCACACACACACACGCACACACACGCACACACACACAAAACACACACCACACACACCACACACACCCACACGCGCACACACATATACACACAGACACAGACAGACAGACACACACACACAGACACATACACAGACACACACACACACACACGCTCGCACGCACGCACACAACACACCACACAACACACACAACACACAACACACACATGGGCAACACACACACACAACACACAACACGCAACACAAAAAAAAACACACATCACACACAACACACACAACACACAACACACACAACACACGCCACACACCACACGCCACACAACACACACAACACAGCACACACAACTCACATACACATAACACACAACACACAACACTAGCAACACACAACACGCACACATAACACACAATACACACAACACACACACGCACACGCACACACACACGCACCCACAGACTCACACACACGCACGCACGCACGCACACGCGCATACACACACACACACACACGCGCACGCACGCACGCACGCTCGAACGCACACACACACACCACACACCACACACCACACACCACACACCACACGCACGCACACACAAACACACAAGCACACAAGCACACAAACACACAAGCACACAAGCACACAAACACGCACGCACACAAACGCACGAACACACAGAACACACGCACACAAGCACTCAAGCACATACACACACACAAACACAAACACACAAACACATAAAACACACAAACACAAAAACATACAAACACACAAACACCTAAACACACAAGCGCACAAACATACAAACACACAAACACACAAACACCCACAACCACAATCACACAAACACACATCAACACACAAACACACAAACACACAAACGCATAACCACACACAAACACAAGCATACAAACACACAACCACACAACCACACACAAGCACAACAACACAAAAACACATCAACACACAAACACACAAACACACACATGCAACCACTCATCAACGCACAAACACACACAAACACACAACCACACACAAACAGATAACACACACAATTCACACACACGTGTACGCACAGAACACACACAACACACAAACGCACAAACCATACGAAACACACACAAAACACATACAACGCACAAAACACACAAAACACACACACGCAACACGCAAAACACACAAAACACACAAACACGCAGAACCCACAAAACACACAACACACAACACACAACACACAACACACACAGCACAACACACACAACACACAACACACAACACACACAACACAGAACACACAGCACACAGCACACACAACACACAACACACAACACACCACACACAGACAAGACACAACACACACACACACAACACACACACAACACAAAAAACATACACTCACACTCTTTCCTCCCCCCTCTCCCTCCTGCCCTTCCCCCCCACGAGGGGACATGCGAAGGGTGGACCTGTTTCCTCCCTCGCTCCATGATGCTCCGCCCCGTCTCGCCCTTTCCGCTTCCTTCTCCTCCTCCTCCTCCTCCTCCTCCTCCTCCTCCCCTCCTCCTCCTCCTCCTCCTCCTCCTCCTCCTCCTCCTCCCCCTCCTCCTCCTCCTCCCTCGCCCTGCGCCTCAAGGACGGGGCCCTGTGGGTCAGGGGTCCCGAGCCCTGGGGCGACCCCCGGGACGAGCCCTTCGTCCCGAGACGCTTCCTGACGGCCCTGGGGCCCGTGGCGGGTCCCCTGGGCCCGAAAGGTTGGCCTCAGCTCGACCCCAGTTGTTCGACTCAAGTTCGATTCGAGTCGGCAGAGTGCAGCGACGCATGAGTGGAGCGAGTGGCTCCGGGAAGATCTCCCGGAACGGGAGATGGTTCCTTGTCCTCTCTGCCGCGTAACGGCTGTTTCCCAGGCCAACCCATCCCCCGGGTAATGGTGTCGATCGCACGTAGGGTTAAATCGGGCATGTCCCTCTACATGAGGAATAATCAAGGACGGTCAAACAATAGTTGAGTAACGATTTCTCGTGCTTTGTTGACTATTGTTGAGTATGCTTTGACTATTGTGCATTTTCTTCCAAAATCCGCCTGTTGGAGGAAATGCCCGATCTAAACGTAGGGTGTGGGCTCGCGCGCACACTGTAGCGATCGCAGCGCGCACCCGCCCCGACGTGCCTCACCCGGCCTGAGCGCCATCGTTATCCTGGGCCCCACCCTCCAGCCACCCTTCAATATCGACTGTTACCGCCTAAGGGTCTTGAGAACCCCCCAATAAGGTGTAATCAATTATTTCTCGGCGGACTTATTCACGGAGTGGTGTTCCACCAATCGGGGACGCTACGTTTTTGGTCCCCGCGGCACCCGCCGCGCAACAAAGACGCCGACAGCTACGACTACGGTTGCGACTAACGACTGCGATTGCGACTACGACGAGAGAAAAGCGGGGGCTCTGACACTAAAATCCTCCTGAGCTTACCGGAAGTCATTTGAAACACCAGCTTATGTCGCCGCGCCGCTTGTTCCGACGCGCGGCGCGGCCTCCGCCCGTGCGCATTTTCCGGTGCTCCGTGAGCTTCCCGCGGCGCCGGCCTCGTCTGCCAGGGTGCGGGGCGCAGGGCCTGCCCTGGGTTTGCCGTGGTGTCGACGTCGTCCTCTCGGGCGCTGAGGGTTTCTCCGAAGGGCTTAGGCGACCCGTCCTCCTGCTCCTCCTCCTCCTCCTCCTCCTCCTCCTGCTCCACCTCCTGCTCCTCCATCTCCTCCTCCCCCTCTCCCTCCTCCCCCTCTCCCTCCTCCACCTCCTCCTCCCCCTCTCCCTCCTCCTCCTCCCCCTCTCCCTCCTCCTCCTCCTCCTCCTCCTCCTCCCCGGGTCGCCTACGGCCCCGGGGGCAACCGTGCATCTGGAGGCCCCCCAGGCCGAGCACCTCACGTCACGGTGCGTCTTCGGGGGACCTCGCCTGCCCCGAAAGCTGGTGTCCTTTCCCGTGCCCGACGCGGGCCCGACGCGGGCTCGACGCGGACATGGCGCGGGTCCGACTCGGATTCTACACGGACTCGGCGCGGATCCGACGAGTCCGACATGGACTCGGCGCCGAGTCGACGCGGGCAGGGCCTGGATGGGGACAGACGGGGTCCCCCCCGAGGACGCAACAGAAGCACCTCACGCCTCCGTCCCGCGAGCCCCCGGCCGCCCCGCGCTCTCCTCCCGCCGCGCCGCGCCGCGGCGAAGGCTTGAGCTGGCGCGGCCGCCGTAGGCGGCGGGCGGTCTCGGCTGGTGGCGGCCTGGCGCCCCCGAGCGGCACGTGTGTGTGTGTGTGTGTGTGTGTGTGTGTGTCTGTGTGTTTGTGTGTGTGTGAGTGTGTGTGTGTGTGTTTGCGTGTGTGTGTGTGTGTGTGTGTGTGTGTGTGTGTGTGTGTGTGTGTGTGTGTGTGTGTGTGTGTGTGTGTGTGTGTGTGTGTGTGTGTGTGTTTCTCGCCCTCCCCTCGCCATCCCAGGCCCCCTCGCGCTGTGACACAAACGCAACGGGAGGTTTTTCGCTACTCTCGGCCACAAGGGGTCCTCACCGGGCATCGGCACCGCCGAAAAACGACTCGGGATGAAGAACCGGTCCCGGGGAAGGGGTCCAGGCCTCTGGGGGTCGACGCTATGAAAAATTCGCGACGTCGGGGGTCTGGGATGGACCCTGGAGGAGCAGACCCACATCCCCTCGTCGCGAAAGAATCCCGACGGACGGTGTTGGGCAGTTGTTTTTGTTGCTCCTGCGGGCCGTCACCGGGCCCCGAGACCGTGAAACATCGACTCTCTCGCCCTCCCCTAGACCCACATCCCCTCGTCGCGAAAGAATCCCGACGGACGGTGCTGGGCAGTTGTTTTTGTTGCTCCTGGCGGCCGTCACCGGGCCCCGAGACCGTGAAACATCGACTCTCTCGCCCTCCCCTCGCCAAACGCCCTGGAGGAGCAAACCCGCATACCCTCGTCGTGAAAGAGTCCCGACGGACGGTTCTGGGCAGTTGTTTTTGTTGCTCCTGGGGGCCGTCACCGGGCCCCGAGACCGTGAAACATCGGCTCCAGACGAAACGACTGTTCAGGGGAAGGGGTTTGGACCTCTAAGGGTCCAGGGTGTTGACAAAAAGCACGACGTCGGAGTCCTGGGAAGTCCTTGGACAGTCGCGTCCTGGGATGTTTTTTGGCCGTCTTGGGGCTTGCAAGGCCCCCCCCCCCGGGCCCCAGGGCCGTCGAGACACGGTTCAGGATGAGAGGCTGGTCGCGGGGCAGGGAAGGGGCCCGGGGTCCGGGGCCCACTTTTCTCCCGGGACCCGCTTCGACCCAATGTTTTGCCTTCGTCGTCGTCGTCGTTCTCGTCGCTTTCGCCGTCCATTGCGACGTTGTCGTCGCCCTCAAAGTGAGGGGGGAGGAGGGAGTAGGGAGGATGAGTTTCCTTTTGCTGTTGTTTATCTTTCTCTTTTTTTGTTTCCTCTCTCTCTCTCTGTCTCATTCTCTCTCTCCCTCTCTCTATATGTATATACACAATATCTATAGTGCATATGTAAATGTGTGTATCTAAGACACCTACGGCGAATCACCGCCCCCCCTGCCTTTTCGAATACGCCCGTGTGGCTAGACGTTTGTGCAGCGTGCGGCCACGCTATTGGACCATGCGTTTCCCCAGCCGTTGTAGAAGGCCTTCGGGGAGCCCCTGGGGGAGAAAGAGGAGGATGAGGAGAGGGAAGAAAGAGGAGGGTGAGGAGTAGGATGAAGAGATCTCTTGGGAGCTTCTTGGTTGTATCCCCACTGTCCCAGAAAGTAGTTTGTTTCGATCTGAAGGCTGCCCATGCCCCCGGCTACGAGCGAGGTGAAACAAGTATGCACGGTGGTATTGTTTTGGTGTGCGTATTTGTTCTTGCATGCGTTGCGCGCGCGCTGATTGAATCACGCGTTTGCCAGGCTGCTGATCAAGGCAGCTCGCCCGGGCATCGTCACTGGACAGGTTTGCGCAAATACGCGAAACGCCGCTGATGCCAGAACAACAGCACTGCGTGCCAGAAGCGTGCCAGTAGTTACCCCAGATTTCGGAATGAAAGGGAGGGGGTCTCAACCCTCCCAGACGAGAAGTTTTAGACCCCCCCCGTGGGAGAACCCTCCAAAACATCGTCCCCAGACCCCCCCAGGCCCTCCAAGATAGCCTGGAAGAGACCCCCCCCCCGAAATGAGACCCCCCTCCCTTTGGTAACGAAATCTGGAGTACCCTGGGACCGAGAACACACAAGTGAGACCCAGTATTTCTCACAGCTGCGGTGCGCTGCACCCCCCTCCCCCAGGATGGCGCGCAGCACGCGTGGGGGGCCGCTCCCACTGTCGCCCCGCCCCCGTGGAACGCCGCCCGCGCCCCGCGCGACTGCCACGCCCCAGCGGTGGCGAATCCCATGGAGAATACTTACAGAACAGTGCAGAGAACTCGGAGAGACCTGAGAATACGCCAATCCGTGCCTCATGGCACGGTGGCGGATTTTTTACATATATATATATATATATATATACATATATATATATATATATATATATATATGTGCATCGATGATATGGTGCCTCGGCGAAAGCCCCCTCCCGGCGATCCCGCTCTGGCCTCTGCCAGAGCAGACCGCGGACTCGAAGTTCGGAGCCGATTGTTGTTGCGACCCTGAGCCCCCGGGAGAGCAGGCGGACTCTGCAGCCCCTCGCGGTGATGACCTCTTGGGGCTGGAAGGTGCCGACAATGATGGTGGCGACGATTTGGCGTGTGAGCAGTTCTTGAGCGCGGAGGGGATGGTGGCGTCCTTCGCCGACGAGTTTGAGGCACGGCTGCCCTTCTTCACCTCCAGCGGCGCTGACGCGTCCGAGCGCGCCGTGGACCCGATCGTTCTTCGCGCGCGGAGCCTTCGCAAGTGGAAGAAGGTCCAGCAGCTAGCCGGGAGGCTGGCCGCCAAGAAGGGCGCCAGCATCATCGGAGACACCCTTACGCTGCGCGTGCTCACCATGGACGGTGACATGGAGCCTGTTGCAATCAATGGCGATTTGGCTTTGTATGACATCCTGGCAGGGTTGGCATCGTCACACCTTGTCTTGCCGAGGGCGCAGCTCTGCAGCTCCGGACGAGGGCTGCGCGGCATGGCTGCGTGGCTTTCTCATCATCGCGAATTTGTGGCAGAGGCCCGGCAGTGTGAGCAGGGTCCCTTGCTATGACCTCTGTTGCAATTCAGTAGCAATGTGAGCACTTGTGTTCGGCACGTGCGCGCGTATTCGCCTTGTGCGCGCGCGCTTGCGACGCCGATGCTGATGCACCTTGTGATCTTAGCCCCCTCACCGAGTCGGCTGGGGAGGCTTGCGCGCGTGTGCTATACCGATGCATGTATTTTCCGCTCGCCAATCGCTGAATGGAGCAGCGGCGCCGCTACGACGGTCGCCGCGCGTGCCAGAGACAGCATCGCAGATGCTTGAGCAGGTCGCGTCGTGCCGTACATACTTGTGGCATGCCATTGCGTCATTTGTGCTGCGCGGTGTAAAACGGGGTCGCCCCCGTTTTTGGCCCAGCTGTTTTTTTCTAGCAACGCCTCTTGCGACGCCTAGGGAGCAGCGAAAAGCGTGTATATATTACATACGTACCGCATACACGCATGCATGCATACATCCATACGTACATCCATGCATGCATGCATGCATGCATGCATGTATACAAACATACATAAATATGCATGTATGCTTGTATGTATCTATTATGTATGTATGTATGTATGTATGTATGTATGTATGTATGTATGTATGTACGTATGTATGTATGTATGTATGTATGTATGTGTGTATGTATGGATGTGGATATATGCATGTATGTATGTATGTATGTATGTATGTATGTATGTATGTATGTATGTATATATGTATATATGTATCTATGTATGTATGTATGTACGTATGTGTGTATGTATGTATGTATGTATGCATGCATGCATGTATGGATGGATGGATGGATGGATGGATGGATGGATGGATGGATGGATGGATGTATGTATGTATGTATGTATGTATGTAAATATTCCTCTTCCTTATTTTTTTATAAGCCCCGGCGGGGGGAAAACCAGTCCCCCCCCCCCCAAACCGGACTCCCGGGATCTGGGGCTTTGGGACCCTCCGGACGGGCCTCGAAGCGGTTCCCGGGCCTCGCAGGGCGTTTTGCCAAGCCTTCCCAGCACACCTAGGGCGATCAGGGGGGTCACCGACCCCCAAGACAGCACAAGAGCGCTCCAAGAATGACCGACGGATGGCCCAAGAGGCCTCCAGGACGGCCCCAAAGAGGCCTCCAAGAGTACTCTCAAGAAGGCCCTCAGAGGCACAAATAATTGATTTTCTGTGGGTTTTTGGTGAATTTTGGGGTTCTCCTCTTTTCGGCTTCCCGACGCTCCAAGACGGCGGTCTTCTGGGCGTCCGAAACCGCCTGGGAGGCTCCAAAATCGCCCCACAATCATCCGAAAGGGTTTCCAGGCAATCCGAGAGAGCCCCAAAACGGCACAACACGGGTCCAAGATGGCCTTCAGAGAGCCCCACGGCGGCCCAAGATGGCCCAAAGACACCCTCCGAAGTATTCCAAATCGTGACCCGGTCGTTCAGGGAGACCGTGGTTGGAGGCAGGGTGGCCCGAGGAAGCCCCCAGAGGCCCCCAGAATACGCCCAGGAGGCCTCCAGAAGGCCTTAAGGGAGCCTGAAACAACTTTTGTGAGGCCCCCAGAGGCTCTCCAAGGAGGAGCCTCCGCAGAAAAAGCTGAGGAGGATGGCGAAAATAAGGACAAAGAAGCATGGAGGAAAGATAACGAAAAACATTATTACAGCTTCGATGCCGGAAAAGGCAACAAAGAGTTATCGCTAAATTGTCGGCTTCACCTTCCTGCTATTCCGCCTGCATGCCAAATTTCAAGGACTAAGGTGCATGGCGCGAAGCGCCACTGCAGTCTTGTATATATATATATATATAGATGCATGCAAGTATTGGTGAATGTATGTATGTATATGCATATGTATATATATATATGTATATGCAGACGTATACGTATACGTACATGTATAAGTGTGTGTGCATGTGTGTCTGTATGTGTGGATGGATATATATATATATATATATATATATATAGATATGTGTGTGTCTGTGCATATATATATATAAATGTATATGGATATGCATATGTATATGCATATGTAAATGCATGTGTACATGCATAAGCATATGTAT